CGCGATAGTAGCGCACACCACTGCCGCAGCGTCGTCTTCTTCATCGTCACAATATATATATATATTGTCGGCATACAGAGAGAAAACCACGGCCAATATTTTTTGATGCAGAAGTTTTAGAAAAACTGGTAAAGTATAAGAAAACATATTAAAAAAAAATTAGCATGTGACTCATAAATGAACATCCCTTGAGGCTTGTGGTATAGAAAAAAGGATCGCTAAAAGACACAACTCTATGCTAAGGAAATGATGCCGTCACAGGAATTTAGAGTCCGATAGGAAAGCGTTGTCAAGAAGCAGTTATGACGCCGAGCAGGACGAACAAGCGGAAATATCTCTTGATAAAATAAGATCTACAGTAGGAGAAGGGGTTAGTGAAGTGCAGGATGAGAGGCTACAGACAAAAGGTTTGAGAACCTCCAAGCAAGCAGACATTAGTTGAATTGTGAAAGAAGGTTGGCTTCTTTTATTAAAAACATAACTGGGCAACTGCTGTTTCTTTAGTTGTGTTTTTGTCAGATGTTTTATCTCGGAAAGCGGAAAACAAAGCAGGAAATCACGTATATTCCATTAGCCGTAAACCAACATACAGAGTGAAGATGCATACAAAAGGTGCATTCTCTCAAGACGAGAATAATTTAGATTCGTGAAATAATTTCAAAAGTTAACTGCGGATCAATGTGGCGATGCAGGCGAGTTGGTTCATGATTACAACTGGTAACAGCGCGCAAAAAGCACAAGGACAAAGGGAGGAATTCACAAGACGAGCGCTGAGCTCTCGCCTCTAGAATGATCGCCTCTCTTTCCTCACAACCAGATTCGCAGTGCTTCAGACCTGGTTTAGCAGGTTTAAAAGGGTGGCTTATAAAGTATTTATAGTGTACACAGTCTGATCAGTAGCAAGAAAGTGTTAATTGCTTTTTTTCGTGTAAGAAGATAAAGAGATTTCACAGTAATGCCATTATTTAAAAATATAATTTTAAATTGAAGTTCGTTGTTTTTCTCCTTTCGTTATTTGTAATTTAACGCAATTACATTTTAGCCATATAAGGCAAAGTAATCAGTATCCTAATTATACTAAAAGTAATTTTGCCACACCTGTAACTGTATGTGTTACCTGCTGCTCGCAAACGTGCGAAATATCAGCCTTAGAATGATGGTAAAACTGCCACCATCGAATCTTCAGGGTGTTCATTCGCGTCTTAAACAACTCTTTTCGAAAACGAATCCAGAATAAATCAGTGGTGTCGCTTTAGTGGCACGAAAAATGATCACAGCTGAAATATTACGTCGAAGTGAAGCCGCGTACTCCACTGAAACCGATTTTAAAGATGCGACCAGCTGCTCTTTAGCGGGCGGCAAGCGGGTTAGTTTTTAGTCAAGGAACACTGGCGCAGCAGCCTCATGATGCCACGTCGCGGTGGAGCTGCTGTTGATTGGTTGTGCCGCATACCGTAGCACCCCGTTGACGTCACGACGCGGCCGTAAGGCTGATGATCAGTGTTGCCATTTCTGTAGCAGATAGTTTTGGTTTTGCCGTGGAGGCCCGAAACCAAACTTTGAGCCGTGATATTTATAAAACTACACTAAAAAAAAAAAAAAAAAATAATAGTCACACTTTGTAATTCAGAAACACTGCTTTAGCTGGGAACAATCGTAATCCCAAATTCATAAATGTTGACAGGAGTTGCCCTTTAAGGGTGTTGCTCTCACACCTTTTGTGTCTTAGCCCTAGCATAATCTGATTTATAACTTTCAGGGTGTAAACATTTTTAATGTGTACAGTCTGCACCCGGTGTATGGACGGGAGGAGCAATTTGTGGCGGAATAAAACTGTTTTGCTTTAATGCCGGTTCTCACATTTGCGTTTTAAATGTCTGTGTCGTCTTCTAATGACTTAAAGCAGTGGCGCCATCTATCGTGTGTAGCCAGAAACACTTCGGGTTTGTGTTTGTGTGTTTATTACACGTCCTTTTACCGTGTGCTTCAAATAAATCTGGTAAAGCGACTATTGCTCATATATAGCGCCTAGATTTTATTTCGCACATATTCCAAAACCTTCCGTTTAGTTATGCGCAGGTCGGAAGTGTTTTAAGGGTGCCCGAGAGAGTGAGCAAGTGTGTTAAGCGGATGCAACGCGCTCGAGCCCACTCAAACCAAGTGTGTAGACCAGCCTTTAGAAAGTTCGCACTAGTTGCTCACTTCGTCCATGTTCTGCTCTTGTTAAAAATGCTAAGTGCGTCAGTTCCCGGACAGACGCGTTCCATGGAAAGGGTTCGAATGTAAATTCATACTCTCTTCGTACATATTTTGCTGTTTTTTTTTCTCAATATTTTGTATAATTCATAAAGAAACCAAAATGAGCTTGAACGCTCTGCGCAGCTCCTCTCTTCACAAGATCACGCGTTTAGTATTTCCATTTTTGTTCGTTGGGGGCTAGGATTTCAGACACTGGTCTATACAGCGATCCAAAGAAATTTACGAATGCCTTCCTCATGCTTGAGTAATGTGCACATCACATGCTTCACTCCTTCGCGGCCAATATCAGAACCCGACCGACAGAACCGGTACTCTCTAATGTAAGCACATTCCTGTAGTGATATTTTTAATCGCAATTTTGAAACGTTTTAATCTCCAATTAGAGACAGGCACTTGGATTGCAGTTTATTTCAGGATTTTAAATATGGACGACGTGGGAGTTGGGTTGTTCCTGGCAGGCTATGTGCTTTCCTGCTTTTTTGTTTGCACGACCGTGTAATGTTCATTCGCGTTGTCATTTCTGTTTTGTATTAATCGCTGCTTCTTTGGAAGATAGAATCTCCAAAATTTTCAGTGCCTATGTGAGGAAGCGTTCTTTACATAAGCAGGCGACTTTTAGCTGTTTAATTCACAGGGTTTCCCCGTAAACAATTTACCATTTTTCTTTTATTTCATCGCAGAAATAAGCTGCAAAACGCCGAACGCTGAGTAACCACCCAAACGTAGCGCTAGCGGTTCGGACACGATGTAAATTTGTAAGAAGTTATAAGCTATTTTCGTAAGTTTTGAGTGTGAAAATGGTGGCCGACGTAGCACACGAATGGCGGGCCTGAATGGTGCAAACGAGCGGGAACGGACCCTGCGTTCCATTAAAATTCCAGAAAATCACTTATAACTAGGATTATGTGATTTCGGAGTTTATTTTCCGTCAAATTCGGAGGTTTCTTTTTTCAGAGTTCGATTTTTTCCGAAAATTCGGAGTTTATGGGAGTTTATTTTTGTTTCATTCCAAAATCTCCGAAATTAGGTGCTTAATTTCGCAGTGTTTCGTAGTGTCCAAAACGCGCTTATATCAATTAATATTTCTTCAGCTGGATTTGGGGTTGGTGTCATTGCCATTAGCGATATTAATTTGTCCCACCGCAAAAGTTGCAGCCATCTGTGGCTTCGATAAACGTTGATACCTTAAAAATAAACCCCTGGAGGTGGTCGCTGGGAAGCACGTATTCATCCCATCCTGTTCCATGCTACCCCGCGGGTGCTCAAGGAAGAAAGGTAAACGATGTAAAAGGGAAGTTTTAACTGCCCCTCTTCTAATTTTGTTCAATCTCTATGGTCCATAGCTTTGGCTGTTACGAAAACACCTCTCCTTTCTTTTAAAACACAAATAGTATTGTCCAAACTAGAAACCAATACAGAAGCTTTTGTCGTGAAAATACAACGGCATGTCGTCCTGAACCTTGACTAAATAAGCGGTAAGAGCCATTTTGTGAATGACCCGAGATTTGAAAGATAACTGTGGTGGTATTATCCCGGGACTATTGACCCTGTGCGCTGATCAAACTTAATTGTAAAATACCGTCTTTACCAAAATTTTACCGGTGGTGTTTTTTCGGAGTTTTTCCGAAAGCACAGAACCCTTCTTATGACATTAAAAAAAAAAAAAAACGGTTAGTTTTGAATTTTTTTCATCTGTTCCGGACCTCTAGCGCTCCATTTGGGCGGAGGCTAAGAGCTAAGCAACAAATAATAAAATATTGCCGAAACAAATTAATATAATTAATTTTTTAAAATATCTTTTGGTGCAAGGTTAACTTTTACATTTATACAATACATTTTTATTGGATTCATGACTCCAAAAACGTCTGTCAGTTGGAGAGGCAATCAAAACGAGAGGTTTTTGTTTACCATATTGGTCTGTAGTAGAGCCACTAATTAAACTTCATTTTAGAGTAACAATACTTTAGCCGCCTTGGTGCTTAAAACGTTGTTGCCAGTCGTGTGAAGTTTCATCTGAAATTGCAGGAAACGGGTTCACGTACTCCAAATAAGTTAAAACAGTCCGCGACAGAGCAAAACGTTAGCGCCGGATCTTCTCGACACCGTCCTATGTAAATAGCTCCGTTAGCCACATTTACTTATTTATTACTGAACTTGGCGGTCTCTTATACAGAGGCCAATTGGCAACTACAGCCGCGCAGTGTGGCACAACAAAATATATAAAAAACAAAGCAATAACTTAAAGGAAAATAAAAAAAAATCACCACACAAGAATACAGGTAAATCAGACTGGCACCACATTCGCAGTACAACTTGAAAAGGAAAACAATAACAGCCTTTGAGTGCTGTTTAGTAAGACAACGTTATTTAAAACGATGTCTGGGGTTAATCGTGGGAGTTCGTTGAATGTCGATGTACGGATGCAATTTCTTTCACCACATGTCTCGGTCGTAACGATCGCCAATTGACCCTTTTCAAAAGTCCATCGAGCAACATAGGCGGCCGCCATTGCTTGGACACGAAGCGCGTGATTGGATGCGAGCCCTCGCCGAACGCTGACGACACCCTCGTGCCCAATACATGCTCCGAGTACGTGATCAAGCAATGGCCGACAGGCATTAAAGCGGACTTTTGAAAAAGAGTCTATTGTGCCCGCTCTGTACTGAACAGACACAAAACATTGCCTAAAAAAAACAAGAAAAATTTAAGCGTTGTTTAGATGAGAACGGGGGGACTCTCACCTGTCCTGGAGTCCCGCGAAGTCCCTCCTGGCGTTGGCCAGGCTCATCTCCGTCTTGGCGGCCGTAGAGCAGGCGGCCGGGTACAGGGGCTCCCCGACCAGGTGCAGGTCCCTGAAGGCGACGCCGAGGCACCTCCCGTCTTTGTAGTAGGTGAGCGTGCCCCGGCGACCGTCGAACAGCATCCCGACCACGGTGGCCTGGTTCTCGCGGAAAGGCCTGGTGAAGGCGCGCCACCTTCCGGCGTGCCAAACGAGTCCCTTGTGGGACAGTCCCCAGCCGTGCTGGTCTTGTCCCAACAGGTCGACGAAGGCGTCCGCGTGCAGGCGGGCCCTGGCCGTGCACAGGCCCCACATCATGCTCGTCCCGAAGACCCTCTGGGACACCCGGACTTCCCAGTAGGCCCGTCGACCTCGGGGCAGCGGTCGCACGCCGCGGACCCCCGCGGTACCGCTGCTCCACTGAGGGTGGAACTGGGCCCTACGGGGCCCGAGGAGGGACACCTCCGAAGACTTGTGCTTGGAGTTCCAGGCCCAGGACTCATCTTCTACACCCCAGGACCAGGGGGCCGCTGCGGCGTCGTCCCCGGAACCGCCGCCGCCGCCGCCGCCGCCGCCACCGTCCGCGTCCATCGAAGCCCTGCGGACGGCGCGCGGTGGGGATCGGCCACGGTCTACCGCCTGAGCTCTTCTCCAGATGGCATGTCGGCGAAGAGCGGACGCGCGTCCCAACGCGTCCCGCTAGGAAACCCGCTATGCGTCAGCTGCAAAACCGTTACTCGTCCCGTCCCCCCCCCCCCCCCCCCTCCCCTCTCCCCACTTACCCGTTCTTTTCTCCCGTGGTCGGTCGGTCCCCCCCAACCCATGTCCCCCTCCCCGAATCATTACGTAGCCCGCGTGCGGTACCGACGATTCCCGTAGGGCTTCCCCGCAGCAGCTGGGGAGGGGACGACAGATGCAAGCTCGCGGTCCTCGCGGAGCCAACGGCCGCAATCGCGGAGGGGGGGACCGCGGCCGAGATGCGGTGGTCGACCGGTCTGCAGCTGCTTTCCCTCTCGCTGGGGTCGTTGGGGAGACGCATACGGGCCCTATGGCTTTGCTTTGTGGCGGCGGCACGCGTGGGGGGCAGTGTCGTATAGTAAGCACCGCTGTCGGCGTTTCGGTCCTCACCTTGTCGTTGCTGATGGTCGGGCTTCGTCGTCAAACCGGCGGCGCTCTGTTTACGCAGTAACGGTCATTGGCGAAAAGATGGCTACCGCACACGCAGGGTGTGTGTTGCGTCGCGTGCGCCGCCGGCGGTGATACCGGTGGCTGCTTTTTCGGATCGATACCGGCTCGCGGCGTATGCTGGGATGGCTTTGGTGCGAGCGATGTTTTTGTTTTAGGCGGACCCCTGGGGATTTTGGAAAATGGCGCGACTTGATGGTGTCCAGTTGACTGCGCTCCGGCGGCTTTTCAGTATAAATCGGCAATAACTTTTTTTTTTTTTTGACAGCATTTTATGGGGGTTTGGAAGCAGAGGATTACAAGGCTTGATGAGGCGTGGAGCAAAATCATCTGCACTTACAGCACGAATAAATCGATGTTTATGTAAGTAAGAACACCATAGTCGGTGTCAGGTTAAGGGTTCAAGGGAAGCTCTTCCCTCGCCTTTCCACTTTAGCAGAGCCAACACTTGGGAGGAGGAGACCCTCTCTCCAGCGTTCTCCTGGACTCTTAACCTGTCACAGACTATAGGTACAAAATTTCAATAAAAAATAAAATGCAGATATACACACACGAAAAAACGTGTCAAAATAAGAAAATATAAAAAAATGTACGTTATGACACGGGTATGAAAAAGCGTCAGATAGCATGGACGAAGGAAAGACACAGACTACACGGTCGAGCATGTTGGTTGTGTAATCCCTTCGTGTATACGTCTTATTTTTATTTGCTTTTTAATACCTGTTTAATTATGAATGACGTGGCCTTATCCAATATTTAATATTTAATAAAATCATAGACTGCTTTTCTTTAGGATGCCTGTTCGGGATTCATTAAAACGAAATGATAATACGTCACACCAGAGTGTACCTTTCACTTAACACGACATTGGTGCTTTTCGCATTTTAATCCATAAATGTACAAGTTATCTAAGGAAGTAGTTAAGTTGCTGAGTACAAGGAAGGGCATCAGCTTCGATTTGCAACAAATTTCTGTTCGCCTCATAGGAAGGCAATCACTCTTTGAACTATTTTACCTCTAGTAGCTCGAAGCAGTAATTGACTCTTAAATGTATAGTCTTAGAGCTTGCTCTTTTTTGTCCATAACTGTTGCAACCAGGCTTAAAAACTGTTTTATCTGACAGTGCGGCGGGAGCCTCGCACTCGACCTGTCAGCCACCTTTTCATTTCAACTTAAATTTTCCCGCGCTGCGCTTTCAAGGACACAGGAGAGCGTGGGAAAATTTCAATAGTTTTGACGTTGCCCTTAAAGTCGCCTTCTCAACACTTGTTTTGAATTTAGGGATATTCAATAGGGTGTCTAGAAGAATAATGCCCGGATATTCAGAAAATGAAGTTGGTTCGGCAGTTAAAAGCACCACAGGAAGGAGTACCCTCTGATTGGTGAGGATATGGCAGCCGAGTTCTGAGCATAATATGAATCCGTTTGTTTAATAATTTCTCAACATCAAAGGTACCGTTTTTTTTTCGTTTTTTTTTTGTTACGGGAGTTGAAAGTAAAAGTTATTAATTAACGTTAGTACGCGTATTCATTGAAAGAATCGGATGGTAGCTCAGACATTTAAAGTGCCAATGAAAATCTAAAATACATATGCCCAACCAGCTCGCTCTTTCCAAAATACATGTATATTTTTTTTTATTGCCAGATATGAGGAAAATTAATCCCTAGAGCCTAGACACTACATTCCACCTTGAAAATTTGAAGACACCCACCCACACACTATCTGTCTCTCTCTCTCTCTCACATACATACACACACAAACACACACACACGCACAAGCACACTCACACACACACGCACAATTTAAGAAACCAATATTTGATGTTTAAGCGCGAGTCAATGGATGGCAAACTGATGGCTCCTGGCGGTTCCTTGCTGCCGCAAAACAAAACTTTCGTAACACAATAGTGTAAGCACTTCTGGTTGTCCTACAGGCTAATGGCGTGTTCACACAAATCAGTTCAATTCAATTTTATTTGTTTCTCTTCATACATGAAGAGAAGGAAGAGAGGAGAAAGAAGTACAAGAACTGCTCGACAGAGTTTCCTCCTCTCCCTACAGCAACCGCACCAGCAACACTTTACTCACATACAAAAAAAAAAAAAAAAGAAAGAAAGAAAAAAAAAAGTGTCGTGTAAACAATAAACAAATTGTTATAATTAGCTGCTCGACGAGACGAGCAGAGAAAATATGTTTTTGTGAGCAAAAATTTTGATATTAATTCCTTGTGACAAAATAAAATTGAGTACTTCGGGGAGCTGATACCTAATCGTCTGCCTTCCATAGTTCGTCCTGATGTGGGGCACCGTCCAGGTGTACAGGCATGGCGTATAAAATAAAATTAAGTTTTAAGCGAAGCGAAGAGAAGAAAGGGTAATGAAATTATTATTCAAATTACTCAAAAGAGTTCTGTATGTTAGGGCAAGTTTGCAAACATAAAAAAAGTTGGTGAAACAATACCTATATATATATATTTTTTTTTATATTGGTGCCGCGTGGCTCTCATACTTTGCGTTGCCCAAAATGCTAACCCTGCATTACATACATAGTGTGATTCAGAGTTTTGTGCGCGGTACTCGAAAAAAGTAACCGATTACAATTAAAATTACTCTTGTTTAAAAAGTATTAAATTAGATTGCTGAAATAATTGAGAAGAAAAGTAATTCACCGTTACTCAAAAAAGGAACCGTTACTTTTCCGATTACTTCAAATCTTCCAACCGTGATTGCCCTGCAAAAAAAAAAAAAAAAAAAAAGAATAAAACACGTGTATAAAGCGTTATACGGGTGTTTTTTTATCTGTACAAAATCTATAAGAAAAGAAGAGTTGCAGTAGAGCACTTTTAATTTTTGGAGTAGCTTACCCGTCTTGGCGACCACTAACAAAACAGGGTGGTCTGTGCGATTAGTCGACTAATTAACGGAACTATCTTAATGAACATTTTAATGAATGGCTTTGGAGGGCATATTGCAGTTCCGTAATTAATGTCCTATCTAAGCGGCGTCGAAACGTATTTTGCAGTAAGGGAGCGAAAAATCTCTTTCAAAAACATCATATCATCATTTTAATAATTCTGACCGTTGTCGTCATCATCATCATTTTCGTGCCCGTATGGGAATTATTAAATGGAGTATTACGCGTGCTTTAAGAAACCTACATCCCAACATAAACACCGTACATAATTCCTATGGAACAGACAGGAGGAAGGTAACCTCTGTCAGAAACAATTTAAAAGGTAGTGGGAGAACTGTAGGCGACTTTCCGGTGATTTTTAGTTGAGGTGTTCAACCTCGACTGTAGTTATGTGTAATCATTTGTTTGACCCGGTGCCTTTCGCCCTCGGCCTGCGGCTCAAGATTGGATCATTTGTATGCGAGTTGTAAGTTTGTAAATCTGAAATGATTATCTATAATTGAGGCAGATTGGCAACTTATTTAAATTTCCATGAATAAAAAGACTTTAGAGACCAAGCTGTACTTGTGGGAAGACGTTAAAAGGACGATACATATAAAACGTCACTCCATGAAACATTCATGTGTATTTAATTGCAAGATGAATTACACATCAAAACAGTCCAGTTCTGCACAAAGGTAAGAAAGCCGCAACTTAAAGTAATACATTTTACACAAACTACGCTATCAGAAAAAAGAGGGGTATAATCTTACACCCTTTGTCATACATAAGGCACCCCAAAAACTTTAATGACTTGACTGCAAAAACCTCAGTGTTTTCTTTCTGTAGCCTTTGATAGTATTTTAACTGTTTAATAAGTTATATTGCACCGTCATCAAGCCCCTCGTAAAATCTGGGGCCGTCTGTTCGACTTAACTACTCTGTTCACCGAATTGAAGTTTTGGGGTGCATTATAGGGGTCAAAAGGATGTAAGACGGGACCCTTTTTTTAGAGTGTAGGAAGAGACAGGCTAAACAAACGAAGCATTGACATTCACGAAACTATAAGCTATCTACATTCTCTACGTAAGATGGTACGTGCGCCAAATGGGCAATCCTAAATAAAACATCAAATCAAGTTAAAACATATATGCACGTACGTGTGCAGACACACGCAGACACCCTTATATAACCATACCAAGGTAAAAAAATAGGAAGGTTAGTAAGCATTACGATAACCTCTCACTCACCCGCACGTACTTCAGCTCCCCGAGCACCGACCTACTTTCGGAGCGACAACCATTAAAAAAAATATCTGAATTAAAAGTGCAGGACACTACTAAGCAGGAGGAAAAAATAGGGGCAGACGGATATTCGTGCAAAGTATACATATCTGCACGACGTGTGATCTGCACGTACACTTCCAGACATGAACCAGAAAGGAACTACCAATAATACATGCAGTGATATTAAAAATGACCAAAACCTTAGCAGGCCAATTTGTGAGATTTCTTACGTTTCAATATTACATTGTGCCGAACGTCACTTTTCGTTCTGCTGTTTTTTCTACAGATTGCTTCCTTACAAAGCTCAAACTCAGAGTG